CATTTTAACATCATACAACACGTACATAAATAAAATCGACATAAATAAATATTTTTCATTAAATTTTCATTTATTTTTTAAATTTAAACCATAAAACATCTATTGTTTTTTTTTTTTAGTATTGCTCATTACGTAAGTATATATGCATTGAATTCTTACATACACGTACATACATATGCATTTCAGTAAATTAGTATTTGAATGCATATTGACCATATAAAGGTACAAGGAAGAGTCTACGATTAATTTTTTGGTTATTGTTGGCTATTTCTGTGATTCGAATGCGCGATGTTGTGCATGAAATGAATTCGTTAGTGCAAGGAGAGAATGTGTATTGAGGAGAAAATTTTATTTTATTTTTAAAATTTGTATTGTATTTTTGTTACGTTCATATTTATTTTTTACCACGCTGTTATCAACTTGGGCCGCAACTATGTACATATGTAGTGCCTAAAATATGCAGCAATTACCATTCCAACAATACCTGAAGACAGTAATATGGAAATTGATTTCAATAGAGGTTGAAATCACAAAGTGCTGCATATTTTTAGGCGCAGCAGCAGAATGTGATGTGCCGCGTAGCCTGAACAATAGAATTCTAAGACGAAAAAGATGACAAAAAAAAATAAAGTTTATAAAACTATAAAACACGCTTGCATTACAAGGTGACTGAAAAGTAAAAACCATATATGTAATACTTCTATATTGACAGTAAGCTAACTTCTCAATGTGTAAGCATTCCGAAATCAAAGCGAGACAGTCTAGTACCATTTTTGTCAATGTATTGTGTACTTGAGTGCCGTTGTTGTATATGTGTTGTGTACATGTTTATTTATAAACGTATGTGTTCCGTTTCTTTCGTGCGTGTTTATTGATATATCTGTACTGTAGTGTTTTCGGACGGTACTAGCTCTTACTGCCAATATAGGAGTATTACATATATGGTAAAAACTAATTTAACAAATGTCACTTTACAGAGGCTCTTTAAATCCATATAATTTTTATGAATAAGGCCAATAAAGTTGTTGAGAAATAGGAAGTTCCTTAACTAGATTTAATTTAAAGTGGCTTAAAATAGGATCAACGCGATTTGACAATAAAATTAAGTATAATTTCTCAGATTTGTTTAGTCATGCTATTGGTAATATTCAATATTAATACACTGATAATGAAAAGTTCAGAACAATTGGTATTTAGCACCCAACATTTCGTTTTCCTCAATCACTTTGATCTTATGTTAAGCTAATTTAAAAAGTTAAATTATATCAAGTTAGGTAACTTCCTATTCCTCTTAAACGAAATCTTTACATCTACATACATACAAAATATTCTTTACTATTTAGTAAAAGCGTGTTTTTAGTTTTTTAAACTATAATTATATTGTTTGCAGGCAAGTATATTATATGTCGATTTTCTACCAAATTCCTAAGCTTTTAGTCGGCAGAATTATTATAATCTGGGATATTAGGAAGATCAAAATTGAGGTGCTATATTTAACCATTTTCCAAAAGAATTCGCATTTTAAACAACCTCCTTACTTTCTTCCTAATCATCTCTTGCCCGTATGAAATTAATATGCTAGTTGCATATCAAAAGCGGCAGTGAATTCTACTCGTATATTAAGTGAATGTGTCATTATACAATAAAAATTGGAAAAAACTAAGAATATAAACAACGACTAAAATGGTAACGATTGCCATTTCTACACATATTTATAGAAAGAATTAAAAAAAGCCTAGTTGCGTTACGCACAGTTCCTAACTCGTCAATAAACCTTTCCGAATTTCTTAGAAATCATTTCAAGACCTTGAATATCATTTATTATTCGAATTCTTTCTCATAGCCTTCAAGATCACTTTTAAATTTCAATATTTTATATCAATATGAGATACATGCATATTATATCTAACGACGGATGTGTAAACCTTGTAGATGAAATCGTAATATCCACCATAGTTTTAAATCTACATTTAATGTTTGAGCATGATTGAAGTTTTATGTAAAAAGTGATATATTATTTAATGTATTTAACATTACCATTCTATTATGTGTTAATATTTTGTTGAATATTTCAATTTGAATGTAAATCTTATATCCTTATAGTTTTTAATTTTTATGCTTTTAATTTCCCTTTAGTTATAATTCTGCTTTGCTGTTGCTTTTGTGTCGGAGCTATAGTTGTTTATGCTGTTGCTGCTGAAAGCAGAATATATTAGATTGAAATTGAAAGAAAATAAAATTTAAAATAAAAATGTTTCGAATATGATTAAATGTATGTATGCAATTCAAAGAACCACTCCTAGACAACGAAGTCGCTTCCCTTCAAACATACATAAAAAAAAGCTTTTCAGCCTCCCGATAATTTTATTTGCGTTTGCCGCTGGTGGCGTAAGCATAACAGTTGTTTTTGGCATAAACGTTAGTGGCATTTATGTTTGCATTTGCAGTAGCGTTGATGTTGTTGATATTCACTGCTGCCTCCGTATGCGTTTTGTGGATTTGATTTTTGTTTCTATTACAACTAGCGATGCCACTTGCAGCCGCAGTGTCAATTCATTTCTTACCGAGAGGCTGTAGCGGTTGGCCCCGATCTTTTCCACGTAATTTGATGCCAATCACACGCTCAATTTTGCCTAGAATCAAGTTGTTGGGAATGCCACGTCCTGCTTCGTAATCTGTGACGACCTGTTGTTTCTCGCAGATTTTCTAAAGGTATGAAAAAAATGAGTATGGAAAATTGTTACTAAGCATTCTATGGCTCACTGTTGCTAGATCCTTTTGACTGAGGCCTTTCGACTGGCGACCTTGCATAATCAGTTTACCAACGTCGAGTGGAATTTTGTCATGCTTTAGCTCTTCAGTCTCACGATCCAGTTTGGCAGTATTCTTTGTGGTTACATGTTGCTTGTTGGTACCAGCACCGTCTAAATACAGGAGAGGAGCGTTCATTAGTACAAAGAGAGTATCTATGGCTTTTAAAAAATATTCATATACATATTTGGCTGGCTTCCTCGAGTTTGTGAACAAATTTTGAGGTTGGCTGACAAATTTTTTTCTTCTATCTCTTTGAATGCATGAATACGAACAGATATATGCGATTTTAAAGGAAGACGTTCCCACGACAGTCGGGTCTACGTAACCGGAACGACCCAGATTTATATTTGGTCAAGGATTGTCACTCCAGCAACACTCCCCAACAACTTTTTGGGGAACTTTTACGCTGCTACAACAACAACATTACAAAGAAAGACAACCACTAACGGAAAATATGTTGGTTTTTTTAAGCGCTCTTGTTTTTGGTTAACGGCCTGCGGCATTAAATAAATCTAATTTTTTAATGCGCATTCCAATCACTAACTAGGGGCAACCGCTACTACAATGGTGTGATGAAAATATCACCCTCGAACATTAACTAAATAGCTTATCATGCCATATCGGTAGGCAATTTCATAGAACCATGAAAAAGCCGAAGGTAAATGGATTTGAAATTGTGAAATTGCACTTGGCAAGTGGAATAAACCAAAACAAAAACACTCAATGCCGGGGTTTTCAGACAGCACATGCATACGCTTTGCCACAAGTAAAACTGCATACACATAGTGCTTTAAAAATTAAAAGTGTTTCGCGCATTGTGTAAAGAACTATTCCACCACGTCGACTTGACACGAATACTTATACAGACATGTGTATATTGTTAATTCGGCAAGTTTTGCAGCGTCACCCCCTCCAAACCATGGCATAATAATCGTTACACATACTTACACTTTTGTGTTGTTTCAACGGCTGCTCCTTGACGTCTGGCGTGATTAACCACAGATTCCGATTTGGCTGAAGTACCTTTGGGCGCCTTCTTGCGCAGCACAGTCACTGTATCCCAATCAGACATGATTCCTTTGATTCTTCTTTAACTTTGTGCAACCACCTCTTGCTTTTTTCGGCACAGCTCTGTAGCACTGTATTATAGAAATGTTCGTCCAAAGTACTTGAATTTTTCTTGCAAAATGTGCTGCATGCGTAAGTGGAAAGCAATGTTATGGCAATAAATTAGAATACTAAATATTTGTGAGTAATTATATACTTACATTATTTTATGCAAATAACAGATGGCTTTTATATGTAGATTTATATTAAAACTTTCTTTATGCAAAGTATTTTTTGATTCCAGAAAAGTCCGAATATACTTTTTTTTTAAAGAAAAAAACGAAATGTCAAAAACTGCCAAACGTCAATTTATTGGAAGTCATTGGAATGCACTACCGGAAGTCATTGGAATACACTACCGATTCCTCTACTTTAGCATTGCCAACATCAGATGCGGATGTCACTTTAATTGAAGTTTATAAAACTAGGCTCTCCCTGTACTTCCGGTAGTGCTTGGCCCAATCCGTTCCGAATGATTATAATTTGACAAATAGACTCTCGCGTTCACACAGAGAAATTCTTTTGTACAGACTTATTGTCATCTGTGAACGGCCAACTAGAATTACAGAGAACGTTCTCTGGATTTACATTCTTTGGTGTGACTGTGCGTACGGCACATCGATGAGTCTGAAAGCTGTCAAAAAAACCCCAAACCATAATAAGGCACAACACGTTCTTTGGAAATGTACCGGGCCAACTTTAAAGGTATCTAAAACGTTTGCAACAGGAATTTGGTTTCGTGGTTGTTGTTGTTGTAACAGCATACAAATTCCCCAAAGAGATTTTGGGGAGTGTTGCTGGAGTGACAGTCCTTGGCCAGATATAAATCTGGGTCGGTCCGGTTACGTGGACCCGACTGTCGTGGTCACACTGTCCGCACAGAGAAAATAAATCTGCAAGCATTTACGCTCTTTTGTATAAAATTTGTTTGCTTCTATTACACACATATATGAACACTTTGAATGCAACCATGCATCCGTTTTCAGTTTCCTTTCTATGACATTTCTTAGAAGAGCGAGATGACTACATTGACATTTTAATTGGACAAAGTGAAATTGGAAAATTGTCTCAAACGACGAACGACGACGAGTTGGTGCAGACGATTTTCGTTGCCGCTGCATATGTGGTCTTGTGCAAATTTTACCAAGTGTAATTTTATAGAAATTAATAAATATAAACAACTTCTGAAATCATAATTCGCTGCAAATAAACGCGTTTGTTTCGGATTGGGTGGGACTTCCTCCCACACAGCGTAGTCGCTTATGAGCTGAAGTGGATGTGCAGCAGAGGTTGGGTGCAGACAAGTTGCACTTGCAATCAACTTGGGCGTGTTTTTTTCATGTGTATGTCGCCGCCTATAGCTCAAAACAGAGGATACAATACAAAATGTATATACTAAAAATAATAAGCATCAAAATACAAATGTAATCTTAAATTTAAAATTCACAATAAAAGTGTTTTATAAAAAATTAAATACTTGCGCCGATATTCGGGGAGTTGCGCGAGTAGAGAAGAAAAAATAATAATTGCAACTTCCAAGCGCGAAGCAACGTATAAAAGGCGAAGTGCAAAGAGCCTAGAGTAGTGAAAAGTGAGTGTAAAATCAAAATGTGTAATAAATTCCAGTTTTAAAGGGCATTTTGTATAATATCTATAGTTAATGATAAGAGTGAAAAAAACTACATAAAGTGTGAACGAACGACGGAAGTAAAATACGTGTAGAGGAAATTATAAAAAAAAAAAATTTACGCCGCACTTCCGTCCGCGGTCTGATCCCTCTACACCTGACTAGTTCCGTTTCGAGTTCGAGTGCAGCTTTTTCTTTAGTCTGTACACGCCCACATATTTGAATAATAAAAATTCGTCTTTGTCGGCTTTTCACATTCACCTTTACAAAAACCTTGTGACTTTGGGGTTTTCAATTCCAAATCGAGCTTAAAGAACCTTTACTACATCTTTTGTCGACACAACGAAGCCGGCCATTTCATTATGGGCGCACAGCAGGGCAAGGAACGCGGTTCACATTCGAGTGGTGGTGGCCATGGCGGCACTGCAAGCTGTATTGGTGTCCCAAGTAGTGGCAGTCCTGTCGGCTTGTCGTCGTCTCATGGCATTAGTGTTGGCAGTGTAAATGCACTGGCTGCTGGTTCCACTTTACGTGGCTCGCGCATCAAATCATCTGCTACACCAGCAGCTGTGGGTGGTAGTTCACATCGGTCGACTGCCGCTTCGGTTAGTAGCATTGGACACACATCGAAGGACAACCACACTCGCTGCAATGTCATCGGAATGAATATTTTCACAGAACATAATGGTGAGTTTGCCTGCCATTTTGGCGATTCACTTGTAATCTTATTTACTTATATTCGTGTAAAGGAACAGGAGATATTTAAAAGTGATTTGTATAGCTAAACTAAGTACCTACTTTTGGTGTAAACATATTTTTTTAAGCTATATTTATGAACAGTTTATTTTATGTACTCGTAATATTGTATTCTTTGCTTTAAGTACTTTCTATTTTACATTTGCGACTTTCTCTCTCTATATGCGCTTGTAGGCATGGTAAGCTCCATGCTGGCTGCATTTTTCTATTGTCTTTATGCGGTTGGCAGCTTACGTCTAGGTTTTTATGGTGAAATAGGGTTGATTTTTTTCTATATAACATTTGTCAGGACAAGATTCGCACCACCATTGTTCGCCTGAATGCCTTTCGTCTGGCTGGCTGGCACCGATGTTTGCTGCATGGGACGCGTGGGTGCCTTTCAATGGATTACATGATATATGTATGTAAATGTTTAAAACAACTGTAATATATGTATCTATGTATATATAAAGATTTTTTCTTACATTATTTCCCTCTTTTGATTTTATTTTAATTAACGGTGTCCTGGGGCGAGCAATTAGACATATATGAATGCAAAAATAGTAGGTAGGTACATTAATCACACTTATGCATATACATATCTAGGCGTAAGTTGAATGCTTATTTTGATATACATATGAACATATGTATATACATACATAGTTGAAACGACGAGTTGAGTGTTTATAGACCTTAAGGACCGCTACCAAGATTATTGGGTATAAACTCAAAGGAAGGTATTATCCAGTAGTTTATGTGAATATTCTAACAATTTAAAACATAAACCTTAAAATGAACCCCTTTCTGGTTGGTTATTGATCTTTAATTATTTATTTTCGATGGTAGCATACTCGTCACTTATAAATCTTAATTAGAGTATGACATCGGATTTCGTTTCCGCAGTGCAAAGACCTTTGGATATGCACTTTCGAGTCATTCAGTTAATTAAATAATTTATTGAATAGTTATTTAACATTTTGATTGTTTTTATGCACGTGCACACATTTAAACTCAAGAAAATTGTCAACCAACTATCACAATTTATAAATTACTGTTGCTTCCCTGCTGATATCAGAAATACTATCTAGTAGCGGGGTTTTTCAAGCTTGCATTATTGATGTTGCTATATCACTCCCCTTGCCCGTGTACTACATATGTATGTACATATGTATGTATTATGTACATACATGTGCTTCATAAAATTATTTTTGCTACCACAAAATCCAACTTCACACTCGCCTCTTGAGTCAGACGTATACCTCACTTCGTTCATCCATATGCTCTTTGTGCTTCATACGCCTTCGTGGTTGCCCCTGCATCATGTGGGTGGGGTTTTTCGTACTCTTTTGATTGCTGCTATTATTGAAGTACGTACATATGTATGTATCTATATAAGTATGTATGTATGTACGTACGTATAGTATTTACAAAATTACATTTAAATTTCCAAATAAAACACATCGTCGCATATGTATTATATTGATGAGGGACGATTGCAAGCGAATGCCGTACAAAAATGCGAAGAAAAAAATATAACCGCCAGCAATTTTCTCCATAAATGCGTGCTGCATTTTTCATGTTCATACACAGGGGATGATGTGCCCACATAAATTTTCTATATGCGCTTGCATGCGTGCTATACAAATATGTATACCTATGTATGTATACAAATAACCAAACTTGTGTATGGAATAACTTCAACACTTCTACGTAGAACGTTTATATGCCGGTGCCCGAGGTGGTGTTAGTCAGCTCCGGAAGGCATTTTACGCATTTACGCACTTATTTCTTTGACACGTTTTCCTAAAAATAATGACCTTTTATTGCTTCATCCGACGTTTATCGCCGTCGAATGCGCGAGACATGGTTGTATGTATGTGTTGTAATGCACCGCTATATAGGGCTAGTTCGAAGTGCAATCCACCGTCGGTTCGGCAATATTTCGCTGCATAAGTAGTTACCCATATTGACAAAGTACTCAGTACGATTATTGCATAAATCCTTTGAGCACCCAAATCGTGTTTAACGCGGCAACTGCGGTGTCAAAGAGACACTTGAGCGCTCAGTCAGCTTGAATTCCTGACAAAGCTCATGTATGTAGTAAGTACATAATACTGTCTCTAATGTAGTTATCTTCTATGCGGTATCGTTCATTACATGCCCACTTAAATATAAATAAATTTTTTATGAGAGCATTTGAAAATCATTTGCCGGGATTCTTTTTATTGCCAATTACTGTAACTTTAACGTGACAGCGGCCTACCACAATTGACATAAAGTACCAAAACAAAGCTTTTCGAGTGCTTTTGATTAACTTCTATTATGTTTAATTCTTTATGCGTTTTGATTCATTTTCCAATCTGGATTTCACATAATTTAACTGTTCGTATGCATATCCATGGAGCACCCACATATGTAGTTACATATGTACATACACAAATATTTATCTTTTGTTTTCTGGTTAGCAGCAATACATATTTTTTTTTTTCAACTAAAAAAGCTTGAATCACAGCTTAAATTTCTTTCCACTGACTATCTACTTGTCACTTGTTAAGTGGCATCATTTTCCCTCACAATTTTAATTCCCACATCATAACATCCGACTTTTTTTTTTGTATTTTAATGCTCCGAGGCGTATTCTTTTATTTCTCGCTACTACTACTACTATTTGCTTTATTTGCGTGACAATTACTTGGTTGAAGTGTCGCTTTGGACCTTGAGCGCAATTTATTTCGATTTATTCGCGCATATGTTTTGTAAAGGGGAAATTGTCACGAAAGTGATTTTCATCATACATAGTTAATAGACCCAGTAGGGAAAATTGTATGCGTCGTTTTGTTTTCACTTAATTCTCAATTTAATTTTTTTTTTGTTTTGAACTATCTTTTAAAATATGTATTATTATATATATTTAAAAAAAAATATTTCTGAAAAATATTAAGATTTACGTGAGCTTTATAGACCGATTTGAAAATACCTCTAAAAATCTCATTATTTTGATACCGTTTATGTATAAAATTTTTTACATTTTTATGTAGACCTTTTTTAAGCTTAAACTCTTCTATCGTCTTAAATATTTTTTTAGAAGAGGAAAAAATGTTTTTAAAAACTAATTTTATAAATTTATTTATTTAAAAAATCGATTTTTTGGTCGCTTTTTCAAAAAGGTTAATTTCTTACTATTTTTCCGAAATAAATTGGAGGAGGTCTTAAAATACATATAAATTTTATATTTCCGCTGGATTCCGATGTTTGTTTTTTTTTTTTGTATGGAGAGTGATGCACCCTAATTAACATACTTAACCTTAGTAAATATTATATGTCATTATTTTTTTTTAGTATCTAGTTTTAAAATTTTTGGATTTGAAATTAATATTTTGAGGCTTGAAATTTGAATTACAATAACTGTAAATGCCTGCCTACTCCCACTTTGTGTTTTTTTTATTTAATAAATTCTAATCATATTAGGTAGGGTGTTTCATATTTTTTAAATAAAAAATTATATGTTCCCATTTTTCGTCAAAAGGCCGTAACTAATAAAAAATTTAATTTTGTATATCTATAATGATGTATTTCATCGAATTACAAATCCCCACTTCACTTTATGCAAAAAAAAAAAAAAATTTTGTCAGTCACGTTTTTTTTCATTTGAGGTGATGATATGTAAAACATAGAATTTTTATCTGCCTTATCCTGAGTTTAGCCCGAAAAAAAATCACCCGAAAATTTTTATTCCACCCATAGTAAATATATATATACATGGAAACCAAAAGAGAAAATTGAACCGGTTCGGGGAAAATGAAATTCATGATAAAACTGAATATTAATCCAAGCTGTTCAAAAGATGCATAAGCGTAATGTGGCAATCTGCGTGCATTGATTCTTTTTTATTTATTTATTTTTTCCAGCGAAAATCAGAAACGTAAATTGTATAACCTTTTCTTGCTCGAAAAAATGGGTCGCGTTAATGTAAATTTTAATTCGGTAAATACCGAACATACTTTTTGGTTTTGCTGTAAAAAATCAGTCGCCCTAATGCACATATTTTCAGTGCATATCTACATTTTTTGCTTAATATTTGCTAACCACTGCTTTGCGCATGGCTTATCGCCTTGAGACCTCATTTCACTTATTTGTTTGCCCCAATCAAGTTAAGTCTGCAAAAAAATACCCGGCTGGAAATTTTTTGTACTTCATATTATAAACTAGTGACTTTCTTGTTAAATGTAAAAATGCGTTAATTGCTTCATTGACTGCATCTTTCTATGGAGGTCAAAGGTCTGGTAGAGTAATTCGTGTTAAAAATTTTTCATACAAAAATATGCCAATGAATGTACATATGTACATAGAAACATGCATAAACACACATTTACATATTATGTTTATGCCTGTATGTAGTTTTTGTTTTACATATATACCTACATTTTGTATCCCCTTGATGATCTGTTTTTATGCCTATCATTAGGCCTTATACTCCAAATGGCACACGAACTTTGCCTTTTATAAAAAATATATGTACATTAGGGCGGGTTGATTTGTATGGATGAAAAATTAAAAATCGTATAGCAAAAACCTTATCTACATTAAATTCTAAGAAAATTCCCTGAAGAAACCATGGGTCTAAAATCAAACCCTAATCCGCGCGTCTCGACTTGAAAATTTTTTACTTGGGTGAATATTTTTTTGAATGAAAACAAATTTTGAGTGTAGAAAAAATATAAAATGCAAAAGAACTACCTTACTAAACAATTTTATTCAGAAAATTCGATTTCTTTTTGGAAAAACCTATTTTTTCTAACATTCATTTTTTTTGGCAAAGGCGGCCATATAAATTTTCAAGTAGAGACGCGGATTAGGATTTTATTTTAGATACATGGTTTCTTCGGAGAATTTTCTTAGAATTTTATGTAGTTTACATTTTTGATATACGATTAAAAATAATAATCAACCCG